GATCTCTCTCTCTGAGCGCGTCGATCTCCGCGATATAGAGCTTAAAATCCAGAGCGTTCAAGTCCCGCTCGATCTCCTCGAGAGACCGGAAGCTGTAGGATGGTGGAGGAAGCCATCGTCTCGGAGTGGTTTCGATGAGAGGAGTTGCGAAGTTGATCGAAGGAGTTGCACAAGCCTACTGTGCCTTCTGCTTGCTGGAGTCTGCCTTTTAAACACCGAGATCTCGACCTCGATCCGAGTTTCTGAGGCTTCAGTCTGCCGCAACTCGGGTGAGTGTAATCGGATCCTCGGTAGTACCCACGGTAATTCACTGGCAGCGCCTCCAGCGATCGATGCGAAGGATTCCGGAATCCGTGGGGTGCATTCCTGCGAGATTCTTTCACCGAGGGGTCGGCGATTTCGCGCTTATTTAAGAGCGCGAGTCCAGTGCATATGTGAAAGTCTAATCCTTTTCTCGATCGCTCCCCGAAGACTTCAGAAAAGAGCTCATGGATTCAGATAGATCCATCTTGCGGCTGAGAGCCCTCGACCCGATGTCATTGGGCACCCCGCATTCTTCTCCGAATGAAAGGTGATCGCCGATTACGCAATTAATACATAGCGAGTAATGTGGGTGAAGCGTGAAGCAACCAATGATACTGGAGAATGATCAATCTTGGACCGTCGCGACTCCCGACCACGACCTTCTGATCACGAAATTGACAGAGCTCTCGATTCAGTGTTGGAATGCGGATCGATTTCCGAAACTGCCGAATTTTACTCAGCCAGACCACTCTTCCGGGCATCAAAGCCGGGACTTCCGCGGCGATGAAGATAATCAATAGAGCCTCCGAGGTAGTTTCTCGCGAAGACCAGGACTCCGCTGAGGCCTCAGGTACGACATCGTCATCGAGAGGTATCAACTGATTCCCCTCTTCGGACTTGGAGTTCCACTCGACGGGAATCGATTCGGTACGGAAGGTGCGAAGCTCTAATGGCTGAGGTCGTCCGGTCTGAGGACTCCAGCTTTCGAATCGCAATTCTAAAATCTCCTGGCTGGATAGAAGAGACCCAAACGGGGCGCACAAGTTGACGAAACGGCGTCGAGCTCACGATCCAACTCACCACATGACACGTGGGAAATTTGAGTTCGAAAATTGCTGGTTCCATCCGGGACTTCGCGCTGAGCTTCATGCACGACTTCTCCGAGCAAATCTGATGCTAGTCCGCGCGAGAGAATTTCACGCCATAAGATTGCATCAATCGACTCCACGGTCGCCCTCTAATCGGCGGTCTCCCCTATGATGCTCTGTCCTTATTCTTCCCCAACTCTTTTTCTATACTCATGAGATGCCTCGCGAAGGTGAGTGTGGCTCTGAACAATTTTCTCTGCATACGGATCACTCTTCATCGGGCTCAAATTCTGACCAAACAATTGGGAACTCACGGCGGAGGAACGAATGAGAGATTAGGATGGGAGTGCGAGTAGGATATAAAGAGGCTAAATGAAATAGATAACTAGCTGGACTCCGAACCTACCAAGTCTCGCCGGATGTGCTTCATTCGCAGAACATCGATACAGTTTCCGTACGTCGTCAATATCTATCCTTCACGAGGGGGGGACCTCTTTCTGTGAAATACCTGACGATGGTGGTGTGGTCCTCGTGACGGGCAACGGAAATCGAAATCTAATGAGTATTTGTGTAGCATGCCATACATCACTCATCACAGTTTAT